ATTATAAATTACATAATATTGTTTGTGTAATTATTAAAATTATACATTCTATATTAGTTTGTATAAGTTTAAAAATTTAAAATTATATTATGCAATTATATCCAAAATACTGATTGTGTTAGTTTAATAATTGCATATTGTACATTACATAATCATATCCAAAATATTAATTATATGTAATCTATAATGTTATACAAACTCTACACTAATGTTGAAAAAACTTAACATGTCAGGTTCACATGTCATACAAAGTAGCAATGATAAGGAAATGTAGGCATATTTGCAGGACATGTCTATACTTGGTTAATACATTAAAACTATTTCAATTTGACGATTAAGAGAAAAAAATGCTTTGAAAGGAACAAAAATACTTACAGTAATTTGCTAAAATCATTGGTGCTTACATTAAATCAAAAAGATGCAAGCTTTTTTAGGACACAGAATTGAGAAAGTAAACTGCAATTGCTACACCATGTGTCCAGGGTGACTTTTATTTGCATTTATCTGTTCTTTCCCTGAGTAGTGACTATATTAAATCAACAATATCTATGGACTTCGGCTCACTAAATCTGATGAAGCAACATTTATTGGCAATAGTGAGTTTGGATATAACAATGATTTTGTACATGTAAAATCTAATATTATCTTGAAAAAGCTTGAATTTATGAAATAAATTGGCAAAAGCCATTTACCTTCCAAAAGGCTGTTCTACTTTCCAATTTTCTCTTTTCCGCTCACAATTTTGGGTAGTGAAATTACTGTTGACTAAAATACTAAAAAATAAAAATTTGAACTGGTTCTCTGTGTTCACTTATTCAGGGATTGAATGTTTCAGATTTAAATATATACAAATTTCAACAGGAAAAATGAGAATCTGTTATATTTCCTCAGTCATATTTAGTATTAATTTCCTCTATGTTACTAAAAATCAATCAACATTATCTTTCAAGTTATCTTAATTTCATTACAGTGAGATATACTCTAAGTGTCACTACATTGTAGGGAAGAGGAAGAAAGAGCCCTTCATTTCTAAGAGGGATTTTTTAATACCAAGGATCGTATCCAAAATATTTCTATTCATCTCCTTAATGAATTTCTTTGTGCTAGTTTGGAATAATTTTCTTTGGGTATGCAAATATGCCCAGTGTGCTTTAAGCAAAGTCAAAGTTATTAAAAAACTGAAATCCTCTTCTTTAATCCCTATTAATAATTATATAAATGCAATGTTCTGATAATCCTCAAAAGAGGGTGTTAGGGCAGATAAATGTTGTCAGATGAAAGCTGCGACCATGAGTTTCTCACACTGTACGAAACGCCCTCGTGAACTACCTCAGACACAGAGTTACTGAATTTTAAACCGGCACTTTACCCCTGTTTCAGCAAGCGTCCTCTGCAGATTTAATGATCAGGAACATCCTCCTGATGCACGCCGGGAGGTACGGCTGCAGGGTCCAGACCGCGGCGGACGCCGTGTCAGATGAGACGGAGCTGCTCGTGAGGGGTGAGTACGCTCGTGGTCCCACCTGAAAACACAACCAGCAGCAACCATTGTGCCAGGGCATTTAAATATGTGGGCTCCAGGGACACCCGTGCTGTGCATTACTCTTCGGATGCTATAATGTTGAAAAGGTTTGTGATTAACTTAGTGTCTTTGAAAGCAGCTTCACCATGAACTGCCCTGCAGGCATGGCAATGAGAAACAAAAGGCAGTTGGTTAATGGACATACAGTCTTAAGAGAGGTAATAGCACAAAAGGTGTATCAGATCACTTAAAACTAGACAATTAGTATTCAGGCTAATTGAATTAGCTAATTCAGGCCTGTGTAAAGTAGATATGATGAGTTCTGTGCTTTTTTATGATATGTTTTACATTTCATCTTACGGTCAAGCCATTCTCTCAAGTTTAACGGTTTAGGAAAATTCATTCACTTCTTAACAGGAAGGTCCATGCAGCATTTTGTAAAATGACACATATGAACAGTGAATGAAAAGCCTCCTAATATGACAGGAATTTGGTTTTTTTCACACACAGAATTGTCACCGCCACATTTTGACTGCATCTTTAGACCCAGTCCTGTAATCTGTTGAGTGGCTTTACCTGCTATTTAACATTCCTGATAATGCACAGGAGCACAGAGTCACTGTCCTGCAGGACCCCAGATCACATCTAGGGCACCAGCTACCTTACAGTCAAGCGGGGCATTAGCACCACATGTGCATCCCGTGCAGCAGAGTATTTCTGTATTCTGCACTACGTGTGCGTGTGCGCGCATGCACGTGTGTGTTCAGTGCCCGGTGGGATTTGAGGACTTACAGTCCACTTACTGGCATTAAAACTAGCGGGTCCTGCAATGTCAAGACAGATGGAGGTAGCTAGGTAGCACAGCTGGGTAGCCTTAGTGTGGATTATACATTTTTTGAAAGAATAAATCAAGGTAGATATTTTATTAACATTTCAAAAATTCTAGACAAAAAAAAAAAATCAAAACTATTTAGAGATTATAATCTTTCAGAAATACTTATTCTACCACATGCCACCACCATATCTTTAGATTTGATATGTTGATATCCATCTCTTTTAGGACAAACAGATGCTTTAAATGATAAAGAATGTTTCTGGCTGACTGCAGGGCTCTTCACATTTTGATGAAAGTAGCTGTTAAATATTTCCATAAAAGTCACTTTGAAGACCATCAGATTTCTATGAGCTATGGCCCTGTTGGGATGGTGGTATTCAGTTGCCTCAACACAGACATTTAATGCCATTTTAGCTGCCTTATGACATCTGATTCATCCTTGTGGGCTACGCAAGACCTTATGTGTTACCTTTACCTCTCTCAGACAGGAGCTGGAGGCTCTGTGGATAGGGAAAGCGATCTCAACTTTAATGCCATTGAACTTATTAGTGACAGAAATCTCTTAGCTTATTATTATCTAGGACGCTTCAGACTGGCTACAAAATTATTTTTTAAGAATACCAGTTATATAAATGAGTTGTTTATTGAATTTGATGTAGAAAATAAATGCTTCTTTGAGGAAGAGGTTTGAGATGGAAAAAAAAAGGACGTTGTAAGCAGTATCACAATGTATGCAGGTGGATGGCTCATTACCATGCCACCTTGCTGATGAAATGAAAACTATGACTGCTTTATAATGGAATTTATTTATATTTTGATTATTCTACTTGTTATTTATATTATGTATTATAATATTATACATCATGTATGTATATTATATTTTAT